TACCACAGCAAACTCTATAAACTCCATGTTGCGCTGACATGGAGGGAAATCGAGCCTGGCGATTACTTGCTCCTTTGTTGGGCTTCATATCTTAGGAAATTTCTGTTATCAACTCCTTCTGCCCAGAACAAGCTTCTCTCCTTTTTCCCCTCCTTAGCCAGCCTTCAAAGCTGTACTCAGATGCCACGTCCTCAGGAAAGTCTTCCCAGACAGCAAGACTTGATGACGTTCCCATACCATGCATCTCAGGACCTCTGCACTTTTCCTTCACAACACTAGATTATTAAATGCTGGCTTATTTGGTTAATGGCCTCCTTTTGTGGGAGAACCCCAGAAGGGGAGAGATCTCAGTGTTCAGTAATTCTCTGAAAATGAAGTCATCTGCACTCTAATGCTCTATTATAGGTTCATCATAAAAGACCTAGTATTTGCTTAACAAGGCACTTATATTGTGTTCACTATAATAAGTAACCTATAGATGATTCAGTGTACAGAAAAGTGTACAGAGGCTTTAAGAAAACACCACTCCATTCTATAAAGAGGAAACTCAGCATCTGCATGTTATGTCACCTGTGGAAAGTACTAGAACCAATTCCCCCTGGGTAACAAGGGATAGCTTTACATACTATAGTGGAAGACTGAAGTTGTTGAGAAAGATGACAGTGGCCTTTGGTGAATTGAGATTGGTAGATTCTGACTCAGGGCAGAAGGAAAATTAGGGTTCTCCTCACTTCCAGGCTTATACTGAAGCTTTGGTCTTTGGTATGACTGTATCCTCCTGGGAAAAAGTGAAACTAACATGGTGGCCTGGAGAGGAAAGACAACAGCTCTAGTGATCAAAAAAGCTTAAGAAAAAAATTAACAAGAACAGTCTAAAAAATTAAGAAAAGTTCTGAGAATCATTGTGACAGTAATGTAGAGGGGGGAAAACCTTCCCTGTAACTTGAAAACTTTCACAGAAGTAGAAAATACAATGTGCAGATACAGCCCATTCAAATTTGCAAGTCTGCTTTCTCATATATCAACATCTGACATTAACTGTTGCCCATCACATAATATTAAGTTTCACATTCACAAGGTAATAAATTTTAGTGCTCATGAAGTATTTATATAGTAGCTGGGAAGTTTTTCTTTCATTTTTACTATAAAAGCAAAATAAGTCCATGCCAAGAAAGTCAAACAGAACAGAGGGGGATAAACTGAAACGTAAAGGTTTGATGCTTATTTTAGATCCATAAAGAAACTGCTGTATTGTCTTAGTTACTTTTCTCTCGTTGCTAAGACAAAATACCCAACACCCAGAATTAAGGAAGGAAAGGTTTATTTAGCTCACAATCCACACTCGGCTGCCTCCAAGGCAGAATGGCATGTGGCAGAGGGCAACCGTTCACTGCAGCTGAAGACAGCAAAAGCAAAAGGGAAGGCGGGAAGCAAGCCTGTTTTCTTCCCTTACATTGTGTGCTGGCTATCCACCCACACCCACACCATCTCAGTGCCCTCCTCTTGTACAGGCTCAGGATGAATATCAAAAAACATCCTAGAGCAGGACGGGCATGTCCTTCTCACCCCAGGATGTAGAACTGCTGAGTCATTTAGCCAAGCCGCTAGACTCCTCAAGTTGACACAATGTATCAACTATAACGTGTATCAACTATATCATGTATAGTTGATCATGTATCAACTATAACTATATCAATGTATCATAATGATATCATAATGTATCAACTATAACTATATCTCTTTAATAAGAGATGTTGAGTCATTCTAGTTTTCCATGCAATCATAACAAAATCCTATCTGCTGATGTTTTTCAACAAATACTACCTGTTATTGTTTTACAATTGCTTTTCTCATTATGAAATAGGTGGGGGTATCTTTCCACATTCAGCTTCCCCCACCCCCTGTAAAACTGGAGGATAACCCAGGGCCTCACACATACTAGGCAAGTGCTCTATCACTGAGCTAGATCCCCAAGCCTATGTTCAGGCCTTAATAGCTCTATGATAATGCACTTACTAGAGATGCAAGAGAAATTTTAACTAGTCTTACCTAACTGGTCATTTAGAAGAAATTGTAGATGCTATTTTAAATGTAATGAAAATTTTAATTCTATATTTCTAATACTAGTATATTTCTAACACTGTTCAAGGATGAGACTGGGAAACACAGCTGGTTCTAATATTTAAAGAGCTATAAAACTTACCTAGTCCTAACGCTCCTAGAGCCAGCTGCAAGATAAGTGCAACTTAGCCAGACAGTGGTGTTCTGCTTACTTGCAAGTCCCAGAGAGTTATCGCCCCGAGGACACCTCTGCTCAGTCTCAAACAATGATTGATTCTTCCCCCATGTTATACTACTAGTTCTTGTAAGAGTAAATTCTGCCTAGCAATTAATGACAAAGACATGTGTAACCAACTGTAAAATGTTATCTGCCTTTTTGTACTTCCTTTTGAAAACCTATATAAGTGACTGTAGAACCCCAAGACTCTCCTGGTGATTTGAACCTCTGGTTCCCTGGCCCGCTAGTGTAATAAAATGCCTTTCAAAGTCCCTTTGGTGTTGTTGTCTTCCATTTGGCCTAGTCCTGAATTCCACAGCCAAATGACCAAAAATAATAATAGTTCACACAGCAATATGATGAACAGAGATATTCGTACACAATGCTTCCACTAGAACACAAGTCCTATGGTGTCAGGGCTCTTGCCTGCTTTGTCCACTGATGACCATGCCTGACCCCCTGGGTGCCAAATAAGCATTTGCTGGGTGAATATATCGTCAGGTGTATCTATTGAGATATTTAAAATCTCTCTGTATATTGACCAGCCACCCTTCAAAATAACTGTCTCACTGTACTGTGTGCTCCTATGGGGGGGGGAGGTATTTTATTTTGTTTTAATCAGTTGGAAATTCATCTTTAAAGTTCAGTGTAATAGAAATGAGAAATGTTTGTGTATTTATTTCATATTGCTACTGTAGAAAGATCCCAAATTTAGTGGATTAAAATAACACAAATTATTGATCTTCCAGCTCGAGATATGAGATGTCCAAAGTGGGTCAGTGAGGATGCTCCAGAGAAGAATTTTTCTTTTTTGCCTTCTTAGCTTTTGAAGCTGCATTGCTTGGCTCATGGTTCGTTCCACATTATTCCAATCTCCCTTTCCCCAGCACATCCCCTCGGAAGTGACCCAACCACATTTTATCCCTTATAAGCACTCTTGTGATTCCACTGGACTCACCTACACAATCCAGTATCATCTCCCTGTATCAAGCTCTTTAGCTCAATTACATCTATAAAGTTCCAAATGCCATAGTCAGTAACAGACAGGTTCTGGGCATTAGGATATGGACATCTTTCAGGAACCATTATTTTGTCTATCACAGTGTGAGATCAAGTTTAAATTTGAACATTGTCAGTTGAACATACATTTCCTACATATCTGTTAAATCCCTATCTCCATATCCTGATCTAAATCTAAGAAATGCACTCTAGCTTGGGTCTTGCCCAAATTATACAACCTCCCCCTGGCCTCCATTTCCCTTACTACAAAGTGAATCCTCCCCCCCCCCCCACCAACTCACTCTCTCTCTCTCTCTGGAAATGCTGCATTCGAAGTAGCTGCTGAAATCTCTTTCCACTTAAGCAAAATTCAGGATTATTGTGTGTTATTTTCATCTGGACAAAACTTAAACAAAATACTGGATTAAGCAGCAATGAGGCAGAGAAATAGATTCTCATAATCTGCTGCTGTGTATGTAAATTGGTACAGACTTTCTAGAGGGCAATACGGCAGTGCGAATGTAAAGTCTTATAAAAGTTTGTTCTCTTTACCTCACTAAGTACCCATTTCGAGAAACGTATTTTAAACCCATGGTTGAATTTATGTATAGTGATAGTTGTTAAATATTATTTACAATGCTGGCAGAGAAAGCAGAAACAAACTAGTCCTCGAATTAGGGCTTAAATAAATAAGAATTGTACATCCACATACAGAAATCTCAATAACCATATAAAAAGACCCTGTTGAGAGGTTTGCCAAATATTAGTGACAAACCTGGGGTTTATCAGGGTATTATCTCGTGAGAACTAAAAATAAGAGATTTCATAATGTTAAACGTAATTATTTCTGGGTAATGGAACAACAAGAGTTTTTTTTTTTTTTTCTTTTTGCTTGCTTGTATTTTCTAGTTTCTAACAATGAAGGTGGCTGTCAGGGATACGACACAGCTCCCCAAATTCGATTAACGGGGATGAGGATGTCCAGACATGGCACGAAGGCAACCCGAGGGGTCCCCCTAGTGGAAGGCGGGATGCGCCTGCTACACGCACACCCGACTGTGACTGTTTTAAAGTTTATCATATTCAAGGCTTTTCGAAGCAGACACAGAAAATCGTAAAGTATTCTGCTTATTTTTAAAAATTAAGGGGGAGGAAAGCCATTAAAAGTAACCTCACCCTGGGAAACGGTGCTCATCATCCTGGGTGCACTTGGAATAGTGACAGTCAAATTTTTCAATTATCGATGTTAGGCTCCTTCGGTATTTGTTTTGTTGTTGTTGTTGTTGCTATTGTTATTGTTGTAACTGCTACTGCTATTGTTTTTGTAGCTGACGTTCGAAAAAGTCCAGGTGGCAGGGATGTGGAACTAAGAAGGCTTGAGATGCAGCCTTTTGTCTGGAGGCCACGCTGGTACCGAGGACTCCAAAATCTTCGGCTCCATTCGCCTGTTCTTCGGCTTAATTCGGCCAGCTCTTGGATTACTTTAGTTTCCTTCAATCCATTCTCCTTTCTGCCTCCGTTCGTCTTCGGCTATATTCGGTCGCCTGGCGAACTCTCGGTCTCAGCTCTTTTCGACTGCATTCGGCCCACGTTCGATTTAGACTCGGCTCTTTTCGTCCTACACTCGTCAGGGCCTCGGCTTTCCTCAGCCGGGGCCTTGGGTCCGGCCTCGCCTCCTTTTCGGCTGCGTTCGGCAGGTTCCGGACTTCTCAGACTCGGCTCTCTTCGGCTGCATCAGGCCAACAGTCGTCACCGCTCGGTTTTTTTCGCCTACGTTCGGCGGCGGCCCCGGAAGAGCGCTCATGGAGCCGGGCTTGCCGGCTCGACGGATAGCTATGGCGCCGCTGCTAGAATACGAGAGGCAGCTGGTGCTGGAGCTGCTCGACACCGACGGTCTGGTCGTGTGCGCCCGAGGGCTTGGCGCGGACCGGCTCCTCTACCATTTCCTCCGGCTCCACTGCCACCCGGCCTGCCTGGTGCTGGTGCTCAACACGCAGCCGGCCGAGGAGGTGCGGCGGGAGTGAGGGGACCTGAGGGCATGGGGGCCTCCCTGGCAGACGGAAGCCGGGCGCGAACACCAGCCCTCGGTCGGGGATGGGGAGGTCCAAAGAGAGACCGCCCCTAAAGTGAGAGCGAGGATGCTGAGTCGGGTTGGGGGTCCCTGACAGTGTGTTAGAACCCTGGGAAAGGGAGGGGCTCCGAGCGGAGCCCCGGAGTCGCTGGAGGAGGTGTCGGTGAGGGCGAGGGGGCGTGGATTGCGGGCCCCTGCGAGGGAGCAGATGTCAGGAGACTGGAGGGAATTCTGGGGGAGTCTCGAAGTTGGATATTAAGGATGCTTGTGGGATCTCTAGAAGGGAACAATGGCGGGGGTCTCAGGGTGGTGGAAAGACGGGAGACGCAGGCTGGGCAGACCTTGTAGGGAAGAGGGACTGGGGCTAGGACATTTCACCAAGGATACTGGGAGTGTTTCTGGGCCGGCTCTGCGGAAGATGGCATGGGAGCACACCTGTGCTGGGAGCCCAGTGAGAGGGAACCCAGCGGGGCCTGACAAGTCTGATGATCTGCTAGATAGAGCAGGTGGCCAGGAGGAAAATGTCAGCTGAGAAAAATAATCACAAAGACCTTGAGGATGAGGGCCCTGTTGATCCATCTTGGTATCCCCAGGGCTTAGTGTGCGGCCTGTCACAACACATGTACCCAGCAAAAGTAGTGTGAAACAGGAGAGGGGTGACTGGTAGGGAACTTGTCAACATGATGAAGTCCTTCTAGGATGGGTCAGGACAGAACTGGCAGCCTAAAATACGATCTGGGAAAAGTTCTCCCATGTTCTCACAAAGAGTGCTTGGCTGCAAACCTGGCTTTGGTGGGAATTAGTTCCTAGGTAGCCAAGTCTTTCAATCCAGTCTTTTGAAAGGTTTTGTTTGTTGCTATTTTGCTAATGATTGGAGTGCTATTATTTGTTAGTGTAAACTACAAAAAAAAACCCTTGTTAAATGTAGACTGGTTTGTTGATCCATATGAAGGATAACTTACTTTCTATATTCATTAAGTTCATTGTCGCTGAGAAAGGCAGCCCTGCATTTTAAATATCTGCAACCTCTTGAAAACTGCGTTAGGGTACTCTTCTAATGAGTTTGATTTGATTTAGGAGTATTTTATCAATCAGCTGAAGATAGATGGAGTCGATCATCTCCCTCGACGTGTGACCAATGAAATCGCAAGTAATGGTCGCTATGAGGTTTACACACAAGGTGGTGTTATATTCGCAACAAGTCGAATACTTGTGGTTGATTTTTTGACTGATAGAATACCTTCTGATTTAATAACTGGTAAGAATTTGAAATCTTATTCCTTGTATATAAATGGGTACATTTTTATTTTGTCTGTCCCCATTGCTGAACTCTAGAACTTTCTGTGGGTATCGCTGGATCTTTTTGCTTGATTTGACATTGTGCTTCCAGCTGTTGTCACAATGCCTGACACATTGTAGATGGTCAATAAATATTCATGATCTCAATAAGTAGGTGTCACTTAACGGTGGTGATACATTGTGGCAACTGCATCATTAGGCTATTTCCTCATTGTGTGATCACAGTGAACTTACACAAACCTGGATGATATAGGTCAATCAGATGTAACCTCTTGAAGCAATCAAGAGGTAAGGTAAACATGAGTTATAGGAGGCTGCCAGTGTAACAGGGAATACTATTTTATAGTAAGCATTTTTTTAATAAATAGTACACTCTAAAATAAGGGTAAAAAGTATCATATAGACAAGCCTGGTATGCACACATTTAATCTCAGTTACTCAGAAGACTGAGGTAGAAAGATTCCAAGTTCAAGGCCAGTGTGAGCAACTTATCAAGCCCTTGTCTCAAAATAGAGATGGCTGGAACGTGGCTCAAGGGTAGAGCACTTACCCAGAATGCACAAAACCCTGGGATTCAATCACCAGTACCACAAAGGAAAAAAGAAAGTACAGTATGGTGAATACATGAACCAGAACATCATGGTTTATTATTATCATTATGAAGTATCAGTTACTATATATAATTGTATTACTGTGCTTTTATGTGACTGACAGTACAGTATATTCATTTATACCAGCCCTACCACAAACTAATCAATAGCACATTCTCCTGACATTACACCATCTACCAGGGCAGTGATGGCGAACCTTTTAGAGCTTTCAGTGATGACAGAGAGCCAGCTGTGGCACATGTACCATAGGTTCGCCACCACTGTGCTAGTACTTAGGAATCTCTTAGCTCTGTTACAGTCTTAGGGAACCAACATCGTATGTGGTGGTCAGTTCATGACTGTAAACGTTATGTTTGTGGCACATGACTATATATGGAATGTTGACTTTTACTTTTCTAAGCTGATACTCAACTCGTTATGAGTAAAATACTTGTAGTTGCTCAGTCTTTGCTTTTAGAACTTAACTACGTTTGAAATGTTTGTAAGTAATCTCTATATTTCCAAAAATATTCAAATATTTCTTCTTTAAGAGTAATTTTTCCAGCCCAGCACTTGGGAGACTGAGACAGGAAGATCACTGTGAGTTGTAGCCAGCCCAGAATAGTGAGACCCTGTCTCAAACAAAAATGTAATTTTTCTCATGATTTGAAATTAAACCAAATAGTGTATTTTGAGAAAAGTAGTTTTAAAGGGTATGATCCAAAAATACGGTAAGTGCTTAATTTTTTAAGTTTATTACAACAAAAGACACATTGCCATTTATTCCCCTCAAAATATGCCCCCTTGCTTTCCACACACTTAACCTTTTGTCCTTGCCACTTTCTGAGGCAGTTCTAGAAATCCTCTTTGGTGAGTATCTTTACTTACGCTGTTGTGGCTGCGACATTCACAAAAGAGGACTCTCAGAACTGCTTCAGAAAATGTCAAGAATGATGGGATAAATGAGGGGAAAAATTTTGTTTATAATTTAGACATTCACTGTATATTTTGATCACTCCCATTTTAGCTGAAATTGTTATGAAAAGGAATTCAGTTTTATTATTGTTCGTATTTTCAGAAACCTTTTCTGATTTCCCCAAAGTTAATGTAGGAGCCTTATGTCCAGGCCCTCACGTAACCCTACACTTCTCTCCAGCCAGCACTGAGAACACTACTTCGTGTTTGCCTGTTTGTCTCTCACTCTTGAATAAGGTTCCTTAGTACGAGGAAGGGCTTATTCATCTCAGGCTAAATAACTGGTACACAGTACATACATACATATTTGTTGGATGAATGATGGATGGATATACAGTGTTCTTTAATGAATTCCTGGAAGGCAGAGAAACTGGAACTCATTAGTACACTTCTTGTTGTACCTATCATATTTCCCTGAACTTAAAAGACCTTCAAGAAATATTTAACGAATAAATGTATGATCGATTGCTTTATATGGTTTATTGTAAACTGGTTAAGAGAAAGTTTTGTTACTCTTTCGTAACATTTGTAGTTTTTATAAACTGTGGTATGGGCCTGACTTTCAATGCTAATACCCTGCTTACAAACAAATGTCTTAATTTTCCTCAGCCTCAATTTTCTCATTTCTTATAAGTCAATGATATTGTGCCTCTTGGAATTATGAGGATTGATATGCAATAAAATGCTTAGCCTAGTGCCGGATGCATAGTAAACTCCCAATAAACTATGGAGAAAAAAAGATGTTTCTTTTTAACTAGAAGTCTTTCTACAGCATAAGGTCTCCTACTGTTTTCTGCTTTCTTAAAAGGTTGGTTTTTTTTGTTTTTTTTTTTGTTTTTTTTCAATTTTTTAACATTTACTAAAATGAAAGTAACTGTCTAGAAACTACCACTAGATGTCAGTATTACTCTGACTTTCACTTCTAATAAGGTAGAGAACAGTCAAGGCAGCCTCCAAGTCTAGCATACAAGTACTTCCTGATTAAAAGTGCTAAGTTGCTGCCCCTTTTCTGGTCATGTCCCTGCCTGTAGCGAAGCTGGAACTGCTATCTTGCTGACAGACTAAATGCCAGAAGTAAAGTCTTCTCCCCGTAGGGTCCCCAAAAGAGCTGTGTTCACCAAAGCTCTGAAAGAGCGAAAGGGCAACCCCGTAAACTTGGAACACTCAGAAAAGTATTGCCTTCCTTCAGGCCTGTCTTGTTTCCCTCCCACCTCCGATTATTACGCACTTGCCTTCCCTACGTATCACTGCCAACTAGAACTCATCAATAGTGATCCTGGTTATCTCCAGATGCAATTCTGAACAATGCTTTCTGGGATATTTTTTTTTTTAAGGAAGTTGTATACTTGAGTTGTATACCAAAGCGCTTTATAGTCATTCAACAAGCATTTAACTAAGGATCCCCTTGTTTGGCAGGGAAGGTTCGGAAAATAGAAAGGTGAGCAAGCAGTATGGTGAGCTCTTGAGTTTGAGTGCTTCAGGGTTTGTTCTTGCCTTCACAGTGCCTCAGCTGTGTGTCCTTAGGCAAATTGCTTCGCTCCTCTGTGCCTGTTTTTAAATCTGTAAATCAGGGACGGTAACAGTTCTTCCGCTCAGGAGTTTTGTAAAAAAGATAGAATGCATAAATGCCTACCATCAAGGCATATATTAAGTATTTTATGATCACTATTTGTTACAATGTTCTTGTTTGCATACATTTTAGTGAAGCAGACAGATACATAAAAAGTAATTACAATACTCTATGAGGTAGAAAATATCATAGGAGCATAAAATTTTAAGTAGGTTCTTTTGGGACTAAAACTGTCCCCCAAAACCTGCTGATACTCTGTATTTTAAAGAAAGGTCCTGAGGTAGCATCGCTTAGAAGAATGTGGCTTCACAAATGATTTGGAATCTTTGGCATCCACTTTGGTTGCTGGGTGACCTTCCCCTTTTTGGTCTCATAGTATATCTACCACATGGAGTTATTGTAAGGAGCAAATAAAATAAAAATCTATAAAAGTACCTAACCCACTGCCTGGGATACAGTATTCTCTTCTTTCCTTTCCCTGATTTCTAAAAGAATAACAACCTTTTAAACCACGTCATTTTCTAAAATTCAGTTTCACCTTTTCTTTAGAAACCCATTTGTGTTATTTTTACTTTTGTGTAATATTTCAACTCAAGATAACAAATTGTGGTCCACACATAGAGTTCTTAGAGAAACCCACTTACTAGGTAGAATATATTCTGAGTAGTTAATTATGTACATGTATTAGGGGTGGGGTTATTGAAAACCTTTTGCTATAAATATCTAAATTAATTTTTACCATACTTGAAAAATAATTTGATTAGCTACAGTCTATTTTAATTTCATCCATCTTAATTTAAAATTGAAGCAACAAATAATAGAATCTGAATTGAGCTTTTTGAACTATAAGAAGGCCAATGTATTACTGTATCAATTTCAAGACCCTGGGGCTGGGGATTTAGCTCAGCGGCAAAAGCGCCTGCCTGGCAAGCGCAAGGTCGTGAGTTCGGTTCCCGGTACCGGAGAAAAACCAAAAAAACAAACAAACAAACCATAACAACCCTTTGTGGTGCAAGCTAAGGTTTGGGAAGTGCACTTCCTCAAAACGAAGAGTGAGCTGCAAAAGAGGAAGCCATGGC